AAGGCGCAGCAGTCGTCGTCACAGGCGCAGGAGTTGTTGTTGGTGACTTGGTCGTAGTGGGAACTCGAGTAGAATACGTAGGGGTAGGAGTTGTCGGCGCGGATGTCGTGGTCGGTGTCTTTGTCGTGGTGGTGGGGGACGGAGTCGTTTTCGGAGGAGTGTATGTTACCGAACGGAACACACCGAGGTTTCGCCGCGCTGAGGCGCGCGCGCCAGGAACGCTGTGCTTTGCACCTTTGGCGTGCTTGAGCCAGCACGTCCCTCCCTGGTGGTTCGTCCAGACAAAGAGCTTGCACCCATCTCGCTTGTTGCAGTCCTCGGCGCAGTCCTCTGCAAACTTTCGCGACGTAGAACCCAAATCGTTCCCTTCGTAGTCCGTGCCATCCTCCATGGCGCCGTAGTTGGTAGGCAATTGCGGGCCTTCCAACACACCTGCGACTGCCCCTTCCAGCTGAGCAGCATTGCCTTGCTCTCTCTTGAGCCAGCAAGTACCGCCTTGGTAACTCGTCCACACCCACACGCGGCAATTGGCGTTGTTGGCGCAATCGACGCTGCACTTGGACGGGTCCGATTGGGACGTTGACCCGATGTCATGACCTGGGTAGTCGATGTTGTTTGTTACCTTGCTTTGGGGACCGGCAAAGACCAGGGTCAGCCCCACGGACGCGAGCAGCATCGACGGAACAGCAACCATGATCAGTGGGGGTACGAGCCTAGATAGTTGGGATCAAGGCAATTGTAAAGTGAGCCCGACATAGCTCGCCCGTAGCCGCTCATGCCGTCCCACTCGGCGCGCGCCAGCCGCTCATGCCGTCCCACTCGACGCGCGCCAGCCGTCCATGTGGCGGCGCCGCGTGGGACTGCCATGTGCATCAGACCCAGCCGATAGAGAGGGATCGGCACGTGGTTGATCCAATCCTCTCGCGTCCAAGTCAAACTCCACCAATCCCATTCGCGTACACCCCAAGAATTCCACGAGTTTCAACCAATGACACGCAATCCAGTTGTCCGCCTCCCACACTGACCACATTGCACTGGCCACTGTGCATGGATGACTCACAAGGGCACTCTCTGTTGCCACGTCATGGCGACTGCGGTCGTGGGCGGCGGATGCTGCGTTCGTCGGTGGGGCAAGCTCGCACCCAAACAACGGCGCCGCCTGCGGGCCTTGGTCAGCGACGCGGCTGCTTCGTGCGCCGCGGGATTGCCGCGACTTGTCGATGCATACCGCGTTACGCATTGTGTTGGTGGCACACAGAGTTTGCAAAGGATTGATGTTGTTGCAGGGGCTGTGCATTGCATGGAAACAGAGGGCATGGTGCGTGGTAGACGAACCGCGGTCGGCGCCTTTGTCTGCTCGCGACTCTACATGAACACTCTCCTCTCACAATCACACCGCGCGTCATGCACACGAATCGTTGAAGTTTGTGGTGGGATCGATCGTTGAACAGGGGGGGGGAGATTGCACTGATAGAGGGCGAGTGGTGGTCGGCAGGGGGCGGTCGTGGGAGCGTGCGATGCGCGCCAACAACGCGTTGCCGTTCAACGGGACAGAGACCACGGCGCGTTGCAAGCTGTGGCGAATGCAGGGAGGGACGTGGTTTCCACCGAATCCCGACGGATGGATTACGCGTTAGTGGGGTGGCAGCGTGCAAATCCGGATAGTGCGGGGCGTGGATTACATCGCGGCTGGCCACACTCCCTTGATGGGTTTCACGCCGCCTGCTTGTGGCGCATGTCTAAGCGGCCGTACCGTTCCCCGACGGCGCCCTGAACGCCCCCCCACACACACAGTCGTGACGGCAGAGCCGCCCCTTCCTCAATCACTTACATGCTTTGTGGTGCTGCCGGCCGGGGCCGTCCATTCGGACGTGGTGTAGGTGGCAGTGGGTGGTGGGTGCTCGCGACAAGGGCTTCGGGTGTGCTCGTCTGAGGCGCACACTTCTGTCCATCCTACACGTTTGTAGACACGTGCAACGCATGCCGCCAACGTGGCGTGAAAAGACAGTTTAACAACGTCGAGAAGGGGACGGTGGCAAGACGTGCGACGGTGCTGCATTGCATGGATGCCGCCGCTGGTGATATGCTTCCACAGTGCAGCGTCCAGTGGGGCAACGACAGTTGGGGCAAGAATCGTTGTGACGACGCTTCGATTCGAATGCATCGCCGCCGTCCTGGTCGCGGACGTCATAAGCGGGCGGATAACCCCCCACACACACTCGCCATGCAGCATCCCACCCAGCAGAAGGACACGAGTTCATGCGTGTACGTACTCTACTGGGTTGTCGTGCATGGGAACCATACGCGCCAGGACGCTGCCGGCGTGACGCAATCCGGAGCGATGAGGGCCCGTCCGTCGTTGAGTTGGTGAGGGATACTTGACCACCCTCGTCGACAGCGACGATTTTCACAGAGTAAAACCACCGACGACTCGCCTTCCGTGATTTTATGTGTGCGCTGGCGACGGCGGAAGAAGGGGGGATGGCCTCTCGTTCCCCCGACGTCAACATCGTTCGATTCCCCCTGCATATCGATACCATCCCCCTCCACCAAATACAGTTTGGTATGCATAGATCTTGTCGTCCATGTGGTGGATGCGGCGACACGGGCTGTGCATGGGGAACCCACTCGCAGCGGCAACAACGCCCGCGCGGTCCCCACGGCGGCGGTGGCCCTTTCCGTCGCACAAACTCAGATCCACCTTGTTGGGACGCCCGTGGACTGCACCCCTCTACAAGTCTGAGTCAGGACCGCCAGCGCTTGCCCCTTCCTTTGGCGCGACGACCGCAGGCGACGCGCATTCGTGTGGCTTTCTTGACTTGGATACATACCTGTCGTAGTCAGATTGTGCTTACGAACCGACGACGACGTTGGTCCGCTTCGACTGTCGCGTGCAGCTGTTTGTGGACGAGACAGCAAAAATGTCCACAATCGTCCCTATTTCCCAAAATCGTCCATTGAATCGGAATTGGCTCTACGTAACATACACGTGAGCACATCTTTTGCGAGTGGCCAAAATCATCCCACCGCATGTGTTGCATATTGGGTAATTGCGGCCTTGCATGGACGATTTTTGGAAAAGCCGTAGACAGGACAGCTCCCCGCGCGAGTTTGCCGGTGAAGGTAGGTGAGAGGACGCCTGCCATCGCACGTGCAGAGGACACGTCGGTCGACTTGGATTCGGCTCATGTATCACATGGTTCTGGCCTTGCCCGACTGTACCTCGTCGCCAGGCTTGGGCGTAGGGGCGGCCATGGAAGAAGGAGCCCACCACCTGTTCCAACGGCACCTTGCTTCACCTCTCTTGTTGGCGACGCCAGCCAGCCCATGGGCGCGACTGGTACACACACAACAAGCCCACGGTCGAGCGCCACTTGTCTATTGCGATGATGTGTGGCCTGTCGAATGGCCCTTAGTCGGCCCGTCGTTGAAGATCAAAATGTGTTCCGAGGGGACGGCGGCCACGTTCGGTGGGTGACAAACTGGACCATGGTCCCGTGCGGGATGGTCCATCTGAATCTGGGGCGACATCGTGGGTGAAGGTCGAACCTAGTTACATGGCGTGCGCCGTGCTGAATCCCAACGCGCCTTGTTCTCCTGCCCGTGTTTTCTGGCGGGGGACTGCAGCCCCCGTGTACTGCGTCGTCATCACCGGATTCCGACCACCCCAACTGGTCCGACTGCCTCTGAACGGCAACATCTCGTCTTCGATCTTGCCGCTGAACGAACATTGCAATTGAACAGTACCCAGCAGCCGGTCTCGATCTTTCCGATGGAAGGGTGCCGCCGTCGATGAAAGAGAAATAGTCCCGGCGGGCGACGCCGTTGGCGATGGGTGGATGGCTAGCAATGTCCATCAAGGACCTCTGTCGACTGCGTGATGTGGGAAGTGACGTGCTGGACATCCGCGGAACCCCCCTTACTCGTCATAAAGTCGGTCGTTCCATCGTGTTCAGCATGCGTGCAGTTCCCGAGCCACGGCGTAGCGTCGCTGGTCCTGACGACGACGCGGCGCCACCGCCCCCAACGGAATCCGTCGTTTTGCGCCGACCACCCCGGCAAGTCCCAAGACAAGAGGTGGAATGGCTCGGTGATGATATGCACCACATCTGTCCAAGAACCCAGCCTGGCGGCGCGCCTCACTGCTGCAAGGCGGTGGAAATAGAGACCATGGAATGCCCCGTGGCTCGGCTTCGTTGGTGTATCTCTTTTTTCCTCCACCATCCGCCACCGTGCAATCGGGACGCTAGCCTACGAACGCCTTCATCCCACACAGGGGTCATGACGCTCCACGGCCAGGCATGCCGCTGACGACCACGGCGGAATGCGTGCATACTGCTCCTCGCACCTTCCTGCATACGTCACAATCTCGGCAGTCCATCCAGCCATGCTTGTTGTGTGGGAAAGGCTTCAACAGTGGACCCAAGCGAGTCGTCGCGCCGGGCGAGGGGCGTGCTTGGGTGCGTGATGGGGAGTGCTTTCGCGAGAGAGGCTGCGGCGGGATGAACACAGAGGGGGATGTGAATTCAATCATGGCGTCGGGGTTTCGAAACCCCGACATTCAAGTGTGGATCCATCTTGTCTATAGCATGTGTCGGATTGGTTGTCGGGATTCTAGATTTCCCACGCTTGGCGCATCAATTCTTGGGCTTCTTTTGCATTCGCCTTGCCGAGTCCTTGGGACGTCGCGGGCAACGACGGCCGCCCAATGTACCGAACCAACATGCCAAGCTTGTCCAAGTGGACCTTGACATACGCCCACGCGCCTTGGTTGGCAGGTTCTTCTTGGATCCACACAATGTCGTTGGCGTTCGAGTACTTGGCGAGCTCGGCTTGGAGGGCATCCGCTGGAAACGGCGCCAGTTCCTCCACTCGGACAATCGCAGTGTCGTCCCTAGACATGGCTTCGAGTGAGTCCACGAGAATCCACGTCGTCGTCGCGGCACAGCGAACCGGTTGTGCTGGGCGCGCTGGGCCACCAGGTCGTAGTAGAGCTTGCCGGACACAAGGAGCACGCGGCGAACAGACGCGGGTTGGATCGACGTGTGGTCGTCGCCAAGGACGGAATGGAACGTCGTGCCCGGCGCCATGTCGTCCAGGGTCGACGTGGCTTGTGCTAGGCGAAGCAACGTCTTGGGGGCAAACACCACGAGCGGTTTGCGAAAGTCGCGCAGTTGCTGGCGGCGAAGCACGTGAAAGTACTGCGCGGGCGTCGTCACGTTGACAATGCTCAAGTTGATCGATTCCAGCTCTGGTGTGTTGTCCGACGTTTCGTACGCGCGTGAGTTAACAAATTGCAAAAATCGTTCTGGCTTGCCGCTAGCCATGTACGAGTGAGACATCGATGGGACGGTGGTCCCACAGACCTCGAGTGGTCCGGACCCGCGCCGTCAAACCCATGGGGCAGCAGCAGCACGAGGCCAGACTGGCGCATCCACTTGGTCTCTCCCGACGCCACGAACTACGCTCCGTGTGTGTGGCCACAATAATTACGACTAGGAGGATGCACATTCATCGTACTTGGTCGATGACGATCTGCGCGCCATTGAAAAAGTCGCCGAATTGGGCTTCCCACACGACCAACGCGCGCGGATCTTCCCACGAGTACCCGAGCTCAAACCCCATGACGGCAAGCTCGGACAAGTTGCTGTTGACGACGTCGAATCGACGATTTGTCGGGTTCAGGTCGGTCGGAAGGTGGCGGAATGGAAAGTAGTGCTGGTCCGTCGTTTGGTCCGTGAACGCGGCGTGGCGGTGGCTAAACGTCCCGCGACGGCAATCTTGTCCGGCCAGACGGACCGAGTGCCCGTCACGGAGCAGCGATCCAAATGCCATCGCTTCCGCCGTCGCCTGCCGAGAACCCACCGTCACAACTCGCAAGAGCACGCAGTGAAGCGGCGCCGTCATTGCCACCTACCCAGTCGACTTTGATCTCGGATGCGTTTGCTTTGGACAACGTGGCCAGTCGGGTTTGAATGTGCGTGCGCTCGAGACGGTTGTGCACGGGGACGGATGGCGGCACTGTCACGGAGGCGATCCCGATAGCTTGTAGGACTGTCTTGTCGACACCAGTGTCAACGGGCGCTTGCATGTCGGCGGTCGTGGGCTGGCGCATGCCCTTCCAGTTGCCTTCGAACGCTGCCACCGTCGTCGGTACATACCTACGACACGATGCACAGGATAAAACCTGACCATGCCCATATCAAAACCGAGCGTAGGGCGTACGTGGCGGACTTGACGAGTTCTTGCTCCAAGTGGGCATTCAACTTGGTCTTGAGGGCGTCGACCTTGGCGGGGGTGAGCAGCTTTTGTTCGATGAGGTGGGCGCCGTACTGCGCCGGCAAACTCGGGCGCGTCGTAATGGCAGAGTACATGCCAGGTTGAGTGAACCGAGGCTCGTCCACTTCATTGTGGCCGTGGCGACGATACACGATCAAGTCAATCACGATGTCCTTCTTGAACTTGTGGCGGAAATTCGTGGCGATGTGCGCGGCCTACCGACGCCATCATGAACGTGCGCGAAAACTAAAGGTCGGGTGCGTACACGGATGACGGCAGGGATGTCTTCGCCGTTCACGTGCAGAACGGGGATGTCAAAGCCCTTGGCGACGTCCGTCGAGTACGTCGTGCTGCGGCCGTCGTGCTTGGTCGTTGTAAAGCCCACTTGGTTGTTCACGACAATGTGGACTGTGCCGTCGGTCTTGAACGAGGGAAGCTGGCTCAAACTGAGCCCTAGAATTCTAGCTCGTCAGAGGCAAGGCACGTCGGTTGGAACCACTCGCCTTCGGGCACGCAGCCTTGGCCGGAAAACGCAGCATCCCCGTGCAACAGCAGTGCCATGGCGTCTTTGCCGCTGTCCTGCTTGGCGCGGACTTTGCCCGTCGTGACGGGGTTGATGATCTCCAAGTGGGACGGGTTGTGCAGCAGACTCACGTGGACACCGTTGATGTCGACGCTCTGGGCAATGTGGGACGACACATCGTCCAGGCCAAGAATGTGCTCAGGGAAGTCTGTGAACCCTTGAACCTTGCGCAGGAGCTGGTGCACGGGGTACTTGAGGATGCCGACCAGAAGCGCGAGGCGGCCGCGATGTGGCATGCCTGGCGGGAGCATCTCGTTAGGTCAGGAGCATCCATCGAGTGGCGGAGAGAGGCCGTACCGATGACTACATCGGACGTGCCGTGCTGACTGGCCGTGTCCAGAATGGTCTGAATTGCCGGCATCATGGCTTCCGCTCCTTCGCCCGAATACCGCTTGAATGACGAGAATTTCTTGGCCAGGAAGTGTTCAAACGTTTCCGCCGTTTGCATACTCGTCCACGCGTTCCGTTCCATGCTTGGCGTGACTGTCAACGACGGATGCTCGACTTGCGACGCAAGCCAGTCGCGCTCGCTCTTGAGCTTGAGGTGCTCCATCTCGACGCCTAGCGACCCGCAGTACGTCGTGCGCAATTGGTCGTACAGCGCCTTCATGTCCGTGGGAGCGTTTGGAAAGAACACTTCACCTGCCGACGGCATGGGCTTCGCAAACAGTGGAGAAAACGACGACGGCGCGAGTTCTTCGACCGGCATGTGGGCCTCGCGGCCCAATGGATCCAACCGCGCCTCCAAGTGCCCCAGGCGACGGAACGAACTCACCATCGATCGCACAGCGAGGGATTCAACCGACGAGGTCGTGTACATGCGGGCGCGAACCGGCGCGGCCAGTCGGGTGACGGAGCGCAGCATTTTTCAGGAAGTGGTCGGTTGGGCAATTGCAAACTGAAGCCACGGCGCGTGTGGTGGAATTGGTGCGGGGATGCTCTCGGGGATTTAACGCGTTTTGCGCATTGTCTGTAGTCCGAAAAACGGCATCTAAATGGACAACATATATGCAGTAATATATATGAACAATATATGCATACTAATTAAATGACACTTCTAGGTCGAATTAATTCAGAAGTGGGTTCGGATGTGCATTTATACATTGGTTTCTTGCCATATTTCGCGACTGGGGAGGGGGTTGGACTGGGTGCTGACGGTACAGACCTGGTGAAGGAGCTCGGATGGCGATGCGCCTCGCCAAGAGGTATGACAGTACTGGTAGAGTGGAGCTCTGAACGAACTGGAATACGTTTGGGCTCCAGTCGGCAAAGGCTGCCTCCCGATGGGTGCCTGGGGCAAGCTCTCCAGGCGAACTTAAACGTTAAACGTAGTCGTCGCTGGCGAACTTCAACTACTGTACCACTTCATATCGCACACGCAATGGATGCAACTTCAAGTGCCAAGTAGATTCGCCCCGCGGATATCCCCGCCAGAATGTCCGTCGGACTGGGACCCGATGGTTCCCGTTCATGCGGATCCATCAGGAGGACGGAGCCTCGCCACGTTTGGCCGGCCAGGAGCGACATTGGACAATTCAAACCCCAGATTGCCCATGTAGGGAGGGAAGGGGTCGGATTGACAAGCCTACCATCTCTCACCAGCACGTCTTGCTGTATCCTTCACTCTTCCTGGAAGGAGCACGTTCAGCTTGAGCAAAGGCGGGTAAAAAACCCAAAACCAACTCGACGAGCCGACACCAACAACATTTACCACAATTTCATCCAGTTTAGGTACTTCCTCTGTTTTGCAATATTGCAACCATTTGAAAACCCACAATGTACTGCCACCATTTAAATATAATTGGATGAAAACAAAAGGACAGCTTTTAATTGGATAAAATGTTCAATGCATCGCTACTGTGTTTGGTTCGACTGGTAGCTGTTTGCCGCAAAGAGAAGCGAAAAAGGGCAGGACAGATTCAACATGAGAGCGTCTCGACGTCTCATAACGGCTTTTCGTAGATGGGGCAGTTTAAAGTTGTTGTCACCATAATGTTCGATGACTTGGCGCATGACAGCCTGCAAAGTAAGAAAGACATTTTCCAATGATTCGCCACTCAGTGTGTCAAATGCCATCAGGGTCGAAGCAATCGCATCATTAACAGTACGACTCACCACCTTGTACTGTAGGGACTGAATGGATGCGAAGAAGCCAAGGTCCCTCACATTGAGGTCGGGACTGTTCGGGGGCTGCCAGCGGACAACAAAGCCCAGCCGTCCGTTGAAACTTGGGCGAGTGCGTCGTTGTCGATGGAGCGGTGCGGAGTTGCGTTGTCCTGTTGAAGGATTGAAGGACGACTCGCTTAGTAACGCTTGGAAACTTGGCTTTGATTGCGGGCACGACTTTGTTGAGAACGTAATCACAGTACGTTGGACCATCAACATTCACGAGAGTCGTCACCATCGAACTAGCAGGCCGATTACGTGAGCTTCGCGCCGCAGGGGCTTCAGCGACAAAAGGCCAAAGCCTGATTTTGCCAGGGAAAAGCTAACTTACACGTGTTTTCTGGATGTTGTACGCGTGTCGACAAAATTGACTCGGGGAAACGATGACTTGCGCGTGGGCTGGGATGACATGTGCGTGTGACTGGATGACTTGCACGTGCAACAGGATATCATTCGCGTGTATTTCAGCACCAAGAAACCTGACAAGTCAGGAAATTACCACAAGGAGAGCCACCCACGTCACCTTCTACTATAGTAGGCCAGCCCAAGTGCGTGTATCTCAGCAAGAACAGACCGAGGAGTCCCAGTTTTTCGTGTGTGGTCTAGCTAGAGGGTCTCCATGACGCCACCTTAGTGCCGTG